ATACTATCTGAGTAAGTTACATATTCATTTGGTAATTAGGAAAATCTGAATTTCTTTTTCATTATCTTTCATTGGTCACAATATCCGAGTGTTGCGTATTGAATAAGTCAGATATGCACAATAATATTGATCAACTTCTGCTTGAATTCAGTCTCATTTCAATTTCTAACAAAGGCAAATCAATTAATCAATCTCGAACTGAAAAAGCTAAAGAAATGGCTCCTCCAGTTATTACCGACGAACAATTGAAAAGCTTTTGCCAAACCATTCCAAATTTTTCACCCGACAAAACCGATACTTTATCTACTTTTATTATAACGGTTGATGGTATAATTAAACTCTTTGAATCCGGTACTTTTTCAATGTGCTCGAATGTACAAGTCCATCTGTTAAATCTCCACATCGTGAGTAAACTGAAAAACACAGCCCACACGTATATTACTTCAAATAACTATCATAGTTTTATTCCTGATTCTTTCAGTACTTGGAAAAATATTCGTAAAGCTCTTTTAGAACAGTTCGGTCAAACAAAATCGGAAGACTTTCAATTCAGTTCAATGAATTACAAAATAAAAGGCAAAAATATAATGAACATTATAGAGATTTTCATTTACGTATTAACACAAAATTCAATACTCTGATGAAACACGTACAACTTATACATAGTAACCCACAGAAAGTGGCTATGTTAAAAGAAATTTACTATACGGAAGCTTTTAAAACTTTTATTGCGGGTTTACAGCCACCTTATCGCGAGACGGTGTATTATTCCTATCCCCATACCTTGAATGAATGCTTGGAACACTGTGAACGTTATTCAAATCTCATGTCCCGCTCACAAAACCGATCATTTATTCAAAATAACCCCAGACCTTTTAATACGTCTAGCAATCAACAAAGACCTAGAACCCCGTTCTTTAGAAATAATAATAACTCAAACACAAACAATTTTCAAAGAAATCCTCCTCTGCGACAATTGATGCCCCCTCAACTTGACGTAGTACATCAAATTAGAAACAATCAGAATTGGGAACCAATGTCCGCAAGAACGTCCTCTAATCGACAGAATGTTCGCCAGAATCTTCATAATCTTGACTCATTGTTGACAAACCATTTGCCCACTCACTCATATTCTAATGACCATTCAGTAAATAATTGTGTTGATAATTATGATGACTCAGATATATCTAGATTAAATAACGAGTTTCGAGATGATCCAGAATATCGTGAATTCCTTGCATGGAAAAATTCCACACAAAACAATAGTGGAAATTTTCAAAATACCGAGCCCCCGGAGAACCCCCGATAATACATCTGAATAATTTAGTTAACGTCAAACTACCCTACATAATCTTGCCCAAATTAGGACTTAGCGTTTTAATAGATTCAGGAGCTTCAGACTCCATTATAAACCCCGAAGTCACAAATAACTTTTCAAA